CACCGCCGATATTGGTGTTGGAGCATCTAACCCCAGGACGGCCCATGAGGCCTCCCAGAGGGCCCAAAGATGGCCCAAGAGGGCCCCAGCTTCAGGAGTGGGACAGCGGAGGGGACGTGGGAGGCCCTTTGCCCTAAAGATCACACCCAAAACCTTCAGCGTGCCAAAAAACACACTGTGGAAAACACACACACACACACACAAGCACAAAAAACACAACAAAAAAACTGGTTTTTGTGTGTGTGTGTGTGTGTTTTTTGTCCGCAGTGTTTCTGTTCCACGGAAGCCACTCCAAGGGGTATACCCAAGGCCCCTTAGAGTTCCCAAGTGTCCACCAAGGGGCTGCGTACAGGAGGCCCCGAAAATGCCTCCGAGCGGCTCCCGAGAGGCCTCCCGAGAGACCCCACGAAGCCTCCCAAAGAGGCCTATCGTCCGCCATCCAGGGCACCATAGCGGGGTTTGCCGAAAGCCACTGGATACTTCGAAGAAGCCTTTTAGAACCCAGCAAGGATAGCTGGCATGCACGCTGCGTCACGACTCTCGATGGTGCGCGCCACCTCGCCAAACTCCCACGGAGCGGCCAGTGATGCGCCGACGGCGTCCTCAAGAAAGTTCAAGGAATGCTCCAACGGCATCCCCGCTTCAAAAATATTCAGCCCCCGACTCGTGCAAATGCACCGGATTCAAAATCACGGTCGTACAAGTTGCAAAGTCTCAAGCCGTAGCCCCATTTTGAAAGGAAGCCACCTTCCGTCCGTATGACCGCTGCACAACATGGAACTTGGGCACTGGCGTTCTAGGAGGTCTCAAACGAGGGCCACGAACAGGCCGCCATCCTTGCAACTGTTGTACATTTAGAATGCGCGCAGCGATACTGCGAGGGCCGCATTTGGAAACCACTGGCCCTCCCTCCTTGCAGCTGCTGGAGTTGTGGGCTTCAGAACCCCTGCATCGCCAGGAAAACTCCAACTACACGGCTGGCCTGGCCTAAGAGCAGGGGGGGCCCCATTACGAGGAAGAGGGGTGGAGGAGGATAAGGAGGACGACGACGACGACGAGGAGAACGAGGAGCATCGAGGCAGGGAGGGGGGGGCAGGAGTAGGAGAGGGACAGAAGAGGACAAAGGGAAGGAAGAACACGGAGTTCGTGGAGGAGAGGAGAGAGCTACATGAGGTCCCCCTTGGATCCCGAGGACTCCTCGTCCTCAAGCTCCCGGGGAGCCTTGCGCGCCCCCGGGAGGACGAAGGAGCGCCACGCCCTGAGGGGGGGCGAGGGAGGTCCCAGTCCCTGCTGCCGCTGCGGCCTGCCGCGCCGTGGCGTGGGCGATGTCGATGGCCGAATGCGAGCGGGAGGCGACACGACGGAGAGGGGGGCGGAGACGAAAGGAGAGGACGCACACAAACGACTGCGCGATGAACAGCTGAAGAATTCATTGAGGGGGGGGGGGGCGAGGGAGGGGGACGAGGACAAGCCCTCCTCGTTGTGCTTGTGCGAGTACGGGCCGGTCACGACCCAGTCGAACTTCTTGAAGAGCCCTGGGGCAGTCGTCAGCCCGTGGCACACACGCACACATGGGTACTGCTGTGGCTTCCGTCCTCCAGATCCCTCCTGCCGCTGCTCCCTCCCTTCTTCCACCACCATCCTCTCTCCTCCTCCTCCCTACTCCTCCTCCTCCTCCTCCTCTTCCCTACTCCTCCTCCTCCTCCTCTTCCTCCTCCGCCTCCTCCTCCTCCGCCTCCGCCTCCTCCTCCTCCTCCGCCTCCTCCTCCTCCGCCTCCGCCTCCTCCTCCCTCCTCCCTCCTCCTCCTTCTCCCTCCTCCATCCTCCTCCTTCACCTCGACCTCCTCCTCCTCCTCCTCCTCCTTCCTCCTCCTCTTCCTCCTCCTCCCTTATCCTCCTCCTCCTCCTCCATCCACCCTCCTCCTCCACCTCCTCCGCCTCCTCCTCCTTTTGCTCCTTCTCCTCCTCCTCCTCCTCCTCCTCCTCCTCCTCCTCCTCCTCCTCCTCCTCCTCTTCCTCCTCCTCCGCCTCCTGCTCCGTCTGCCTCCTCCTCCTGCTGCACCTCCTCCTCCTCTTGCTCATCCCCCTCCTCCTCCTCCACACGACTACTACTACTACTACTACTACTACTACTACTACTACTACTACTACTACTACTACTACTACTACTACTACTACTACTACTACTACTACTACTATACTACTACTACTACTACTCTACTGCTACTACTACTACTACTACTACTACTACTACTACTACTACTACTACTACTACTACTACTACTACTACTACTACTACTACTACTACTACTACTACTACTAACTACTACTAACTACTACTAACTACTACTAACTACTACTACTACTACTACTACTACTACTACTACTACTACTACTACTACTACTACCACTACTACTACTACTACTACTACTACTACTACTACTACTACTACTACTACTACTACTACTACTACTACTACTACTACTACTACTACTCCTACTACTCCGACTACTACTACTACTACTACTACTACTACTACTACTACTACTACTACTACTACTACTACTACTACTACTACTACTACTACTAATACTACTACTAGAACTACTACTACTACTACTACTACTACTACTACTACTACTACTACTACTACTACTACTACTACTACTACTAGTACTACGACTACTACACAACTACTACGACTACTACTACTACTACTACGACTACTACGACTACTACGACTACTACGACTCTACGACTACTACGACTACTACGACTACTACGACTACTACTACTACTACTACTACTACTACTACTACTACTACGACTACTACGACTACTAC